TTTAGGGATTCCTCTATTTGGGTTTTAGCACTAATCATTCTAATTAAACAATTGTAAACTGAGGAATCATTAATAAAACAATGATGATAAGAAAATGCAGCAAAAAATAAAAATATAGTATAATTATCATCTAAATGAAGAGAATATAAATGTCCAAGGGACAAAGCAATCCTGTTCAAGTCACCATAAAAATAAAGGACCAAAGCAATCCTACACAATCAACCCCAGAAGACCAAAATATCCCTTTACAAAATCTTCTAAATTTGCCCCATGGTAAAAATTAAAAGAACAAAAAGGAGAACAATGAAATGGATCAAAAACCAGAATTCTCGAACCCATCTTGACAAAGAACATTCTCAAGCAACGACCAGGATTCGTCCATCAACTCAGGGCTCAGTCTGAACATCAAAACACAGAACTCCATTTCACTGAGAGCCCCATCCCCATCTAGATCACCTTCTCTCACCATGCTAGCAATCTCGTCGTCTTTCATGTCCTGCAACCCCAGCACCGCGGCGTTCCTCTTCAAGCTCTCCGCCGTGATGACCCTCCTCTCCCTGTCCATCAGGAGCTCGAACCCATTGCACAGCTCCCTTATCAGCGCTTCTCCACCCAGCTTCTGCGCCATCACTGGCAACAAATCCTCAAAATCAACCCTTTTACCAAACCCTGACATTCCTGAATAGAATCAAGAACTTTAATAATTCTTGCTTTGATTAATTCTTGGAGAGAAAGAAGGTAATTGATGAATTGGATTTTGCTTATGTGGGTGTATTTATATATATGTGGGAAAGGATTGGAGAGATTTTTCTGGGAAGGAGGACGAAGCATGGTTCCCGTATGTATGACAGCAAAAAAACAGAAAGTTAATTGGGGGTCGGCTATGGGCGTTGCAAGGGAAGAACTGTCTGCGTTTCGCAGAAGTTGTATGTCAGGGATGATCTCATTATTTTGAATTTGTTTATAGTTTTTTAATTTGCCACCCCAATCTGAAAGGAAAAGAAGAATCAGTTCTGAATAGGGGTACTCTAGTCATTTACAAATGAAATTGTTACTTTCCTTTTTATTTTTTTAATAGTAAAATTGATACTTTCTATTGTTTTGACTTTTTAAGTTTTATCATAATTTTTTTTAATTAGAAATGTTTTGTATAGTTTAAATTAAATTGAAATATATAAACTTAATCATTAAATAGGATTTTTATGAGCCTTTATATTTAATAGTTTTGTTTTTATAATTTAATACAATTTTTTCTTATATTAAAAATAAAATTTTATTAATAATTTAAATAATTTAATAATAATTTTTTCTCTAAAATTAAAAAATTTTAAATTTAAATCATATACTATAAAGATGAAATAAATTAAAAAAAAATAAAAAAATTATATTTTATTATACAACTAAAATAAAAACTAAAATAAAATCCTTAAATTCTAAGTCAACTATCAACGGCTTATTTTATGCAAAGATTTTAGGAAAGTGAGGAAAAACTTAGTATGGTTTCCCACTCTTCGTGGTTTTTCTCGGAAAGTTAATGATGGAAGAGAGATTCTCAATTACCTAGAAATTAATTGGAATGTGGAAATTACTGTTTTGTTTTCTCCTCAATATTCGAAGACAGCCCACATGAAAAATAATATTTTGACGATTTAATATTTATGGCCGGTACTCGGATGATCTAAAATAATATTAAAGGATTGAATATTAAAAGCTCATGATGCAGACATTTTACCTAAAAATAAAAGCTCATGATGCATTCTTTGTCCTTGGCGTCAAGGAAGACATGTCCTCGAGGGGAGGTCAGCGAACCTTCAGTTTTTATTTTATATATTTTTTCGATTAATTTACTGGGGAGATCTTATCTTCAATCTACTCACAAAATATTGCGTAGCAGAGATTGCGGTTGGTTATTTCACAAAAAATAATTGGAAGAAAATTTCTTTAATAACCTTTTCATACTAATTTTTTATATTAATTAATAATTAAATTTGTTATA